GATAAAAGACATGTTAAAGTTCTCAAAGATCTCACATGTTATTTAACTAAAAATTGATGGATTCTTATAATCCAAGCTCTCATTATTCTCACATCCTCACTGACACTGTGACTTTTTAAAATAGAATTCAACCTTTCATTTAATTAATTAATTCAATTATTCTATATTTAATAATATTAATTAAAAAATTGATTAAAAGAAGAATTCTCAACTCTTCATATTCCTTATTATTTATAGTCTTCAAAGGGACGGTTAATGCAATTGAAACACTTCACAGCAGATCTTGTGGAATAACAATCAACAATTTAAAGCTTTTCATATTCTTAAAATATCTATTCATTTCAAATTTAAGGAATTGAAAAATGCATCTTTATAAATTCTAATTGTTATTGTAATCGATTGTTGTAAATTTATTATTAATTTGTATATATTAATTAATTGTTACATATTTATTATTAATCTAAATGATTTAATATTAGTATTACACAATTTCACAGCTTCATCTGCATTTGTCTACCTAAGAAATGTTGATAACTACGCATGCATGCCTAAGTCGGAAGATGAAGGTCTCTGCTCTTAAAAATACATCAATGCTTCATGCCCTTAATTGGCTACCAAATCATCATTGCTTGCTTCTCTTCACGTACTAACCTCCTAAGATTGGAAGAAATCCATCCATTTTATGACTTATAAGCATCGATGCAGTGTAAGATTCACAAGTAATCTCTTCTTATTAATATGTTTATATTCTAATGCATCCATTTTAAAGCTTCTAAGCATCCAGACAATTGTAATTTTCTTATGTAACCTTTCTAATTAATATTTTTTATTCAAATGCATCCATTTACTAATTCTAAGATTTCAAGCTACTATAAATTTTGCAAATAATCTCTTTTTACACCTAAAAAGGATTTATTATTACCAAATCATTGCTACCCTAATGACCACTTGAATAAGGATTTAATTTGATAAAGCTAGCTATTGATCCCAACTGCTATAAAATTTCTTTATAATTTCTTCTCATCATTCATATTTTCTCATACTGTTAACATTTAATGTCAATTATCTTTTTATTGAAACAGTAAATAATATATCTGATACAAAAGAACCTTATTTTAAACTCCTCCCAAATAAAGCTAATTCATTACTTCTTATCTACGAAGAAAAAAGAAAAAAAAATATCATTTCTTACAATGTCACGAATGGAAGATCCATGAATTATAAGCCTTTCTGTTGTGATAGTTGTCTTTGATATTCCTAAGATAAATTTGCTTCAATTTTTTATTATCTTATTGATTTTAATATTATAATACAATATTAAAATTTCTCGCTATATATAAGATATTAATATTTTAGAAGTAAAGATATTATACAACTAAAACAGATAAAAGCATTACAACCACACTATTAACATTAACAAGACATCCTAACAAAACATGGTATGTAAATTGTATTGGTAAAATAGGGTATGAATAAATTGAGTCATTTTCTATTATGTGAAAACTAATTGTTCCCTAATAATTCGATTATAAAGTTATCTTCATGTTGATGGTGAATAAAATGCAACTACCATGTGATTAATTGTGCGGAGACTTCTGTAAGGAAGATTTGTAAGGAGGACAATTTTAAAAATGATATCATGGAAGAAATAGTTGTCTATTAAAAAGTTTCAAATCTTGAGTAAAAATGTGAACATGGTTAAGATGAACAAGTTCATATTCGAATAAGATGTATTTTTGAGAAAGTAATTGAAAGAATAGCACCAATAGGAAAAATAGAAATAGTTTAGTATGAATAAAAAATAATAAGTTTATAATGAAAGAACAAAACGTCAAAGATTAATATTTTATATATAGCGAGAAATTTTAATATTGTATTATAATATTAAAATCAATAAGATAATAAAAAATTGAAGCAATTCAATTCCTTAAGTTTAAAATGAATATATATTTTAAGAATATGAAAAGCTTTAAATTGTTGATTGTTATTCCACAAGATCTGCTGTGAAGTGTTTCAATTGCATTAACCGTCCCTTTGAAGACTATAAATAATAAGGAATATGAAGAGTTGAGAATTCTTCTTTTAATCAATTTTTTAATTAATATTATTAAATATAGAATAATTGAATTAATTAATTAAATGAAGGGTTGAATTCTATTTTAAAAAGTTACAGTGTCAATGAGGATATGAGAATAATGAAGACCTTGGATTATAAGAATCCATCAATTTTTAGTTAAATAACATATGAGATCTTTGAGAACTTTAACATGTCTTTTATCCTAAAAAAATAATAACAATCAAATTGAGCCTCACGATACAATCAGTTTCAGTCTGATTCAACACATGGAGAACTTCAATTATGATTGCTATCCAAGCACATATTATCACATAAAATATATATAAACCATAATATATACTCATGAAAGATAAAAAGCGAATGTAAGAACAAGGATAAAATAAAACATATAGATATATAAATAAAATTCATTGCAACAAATCATTCCTTGCGATACCAATAATAATTTTTTTTTAATTTATTTATGGCATCATGCTAGTGTAGATTAAGCAATTAACATACCACAAGCTTATAAGCAGATTTTTTTACCGCTAATTTATCAAACTGACACTAACTAAAGAAATCACCAGTAGTGAATGTTTACTAATTGTCCTGAGTGACCAGTTATTTGGTGTATGTGGGAGCTCGCATGCCAAATTAATCCGCCCTTCATTTTTTCACCCTGTTAATTTAAAACGTTGATTAATTTAGTGAATAAAAGTTTGCTCTTCCTTTTTTGGGTGCTGCCTACTTGTAGCTCTAGAATGTGCTTAGGTTTTTTTGTAATTCATAGTATAAGGAACCACCGGCTCTTAGGTTTTAATTTACTTTCTCTTGTAGCTCTTTTGAGCATTAGCGAGCTGAAGGTTCCTTCTAAGGACCTTGTAACATCTTTTTTTGATATTAACGTGTAGGCCCCTCCGAGGGTTTTAACAAAAAAAAAAATGTTGAGCATAACTAATATTTGCATTATCTGTAAATTTACCATTTTAATGTATATATACTCTATTCAGAAAATTATGAAATATTCATATTTATCCAAATATGCTATATTATATGAAAATTATATAGTTTTTTTTTTCTTATGTGATCTCCTAGTTTTCTGGAACTTGAAAGCTTAGAAATGGTATGTGAAATATAAGTCAAATATTGAGAGCTAAAATGAGCAAAAAATGAAAAGAAAAGCAATTCAATACCAAACTATTTTTATTATATTTATTTGAAAGGCTACAATTTAACAACACAAACTTAGCAGGTGAGAAGAAATACAATAATCGCTTTTCTCCATATTCTCCAATTTTGACTTCAGCGAAGAGGAGTTTCGATCCTTCTCTCGTTTCGGCTTCAACCAGTTTCGCAATTTATAGGGCTTCGTGATCTCACCTTTTCTTTTAATAGCGACATGAATACAATGGGTTGAGAATATGAAGCGTTGGAAATTATAGCGTTAGATGGATATTTATGATTTAATTTAGGGAATAGTAATATATCATTAGCATAAATGCACTTATGCGCAGATGGAAGAGGAAGTGGAGGCGAAATGCAAATAGAAAACGGGGAGGGTTAAATGGAAGAGAAAGTGAAGGGGAAATGCGGAATAAGAAACAAAGAGGGTTAAAGGATTGAAGAGCTATTTTAGCCGAAATAAACTTCAAATGTTACCAATTCGTTTTTTAAATGCAATTGATAACGACTTATTTTTTAAAAAAAAAACGTAAAATTAATAAATAAGTTAATTAAATGTATAAATAAAATGAATGATTGAGATTCATCTTTGATAAATTAAATAGAAGGCTAGGATTGCATTTGGGTGGAATCCCAAGCCACTTTTATAGATGAATTTAAATAGAAGAGTACAAATTAAGGATAACATAGAACCATTGCAAGCTAAACAGTAAATAAAATGAATGTAATTTTAAATTTCTCCCGGCAATGAAGAGTAGGTATTGTTGAAAAACAGTTGACAAAAACAGAGCAACCACAGCCTCCATTGTTCGATGGAAGAGTAAAGTGAAGCTAATATAATTGCTAACACCACACATTTTTTAGAGATGAATGTCTAAAAAGAATATTAATGTTCATGAAATTATTTAAACAACTCATTAATCATAATGTTGTTTATTTTAACACTTTTATACTGCTTCATGCATTTATGGAACAGTGCAACATATCCACATAGAAGCGTGTTAAAATAAACAGCATTATCAGAAATGAAGTTTTTCATGCATGAAATATAGAGAGAAAATAGTATTACGCAACACCAAGTGAGCAATTTATAAATTTCTCGTTGACAGTTAATTAAATCAGAAAAAATAAAAAAAGTTAAAATTATTAAATTTAAACAAGATCTACAGATAAAATATAAAAAAGTTAAACTCATAAATACAAAAGAAAAAAATAGCAAGTTGTATCCTAATTCCTAAACCCTAAATATAACAAAATTTACAAGCATTTATAGTTTGACATCCAAAGTTCGTTAATATCAGATAATTCTAAAACACATGGAATTGAGTGAAATCATATGCAAAGATCCATGCATTTTACTGTGCAGTGTACTCAAACCTGAAGTAGCATTAAAAGAGTTTAAACATTAGGTAAGTGTTATTCAAATGGTTGCTTCTTGGCATTTCTAGATATAAATATTGGAAATTAAAAATGAGTCAGATAGTTGATCAAACTTTGATGAGAATGTTTGTATCTCAAAGTGTTGTTTCAAGGAATTTAAAGGTAATCCCCACAGTTATATATCCAATGACATGAATAACTTAAAAATAGTATCGGAAATTAAATAACCCATGACTTTGCTAATAAAAAATAGAAAAGGATTCCTGCTCACTTCACTGAATTGGATTGGATTAGGCATGGATGCTTTAGGCTGGCAAGAGACCACACTCAATGTTTGGAAGATGCTCAAATTTTTGTTGATAAAATCAAGCAAATTTGGTTCACCAAGTTAGAACCATATTATGCTCTCTTTTGTTGATTTGGTCATATCAATGGCAACTGAACTTCCCATTACATTCTATTATTATGAACCTTTATGTATATGCCTCTTTCACTTTATGACATTCAACAACAACAACAACAACATCAAGCCTTTATCCCACTACGTGGGGTCGGCTACATGAATCCTTTTTCTCCATTGTGTCCTATTAAAAGTCAAATTCTCGTTTAAATCTAATAAAGAAAGGTCATTCCTAATATTTTCTAACCAAATCTTTTTAGCTCTACCCTACCTTTCTTAACATAAGTCAAATCTAATACCTATACTCTCCTAACCGGGTCATCGCAAGACCGCCGTTTTATGTGACCAAACCATCTAAGACGACT